TACCTGAAGGAACTACTCCTTCATTCCACCTGTGACAGGTCCTGTCTTTAACCATGCCCTAGGACAGCAACCTCTCGGGTAACAGCTCTCTCACTTCTCCCATACCTTTCCTTAGAAAATTTCATTCTTTCCCCTGGTCCCCAGGTCCGGGAGTCTCCAACTACTCATATTCTCCTCACAAAGTAGGGAAGAGCTTGGAGAAATGTTTGAACTGGGCCCAGGATGAGATCCCGGCAGAGCAGCACAGCCAAACCCCGCTCTACTTGGGAGCAACTGCCAGCATGAGGCAGCTGAAGTGAGTGAATGTCGCAAACCCACACCCAGACATCAGCACACCTCACACGGATCATTCTGTAAATGCGTCTCTCCCTGTCTGCTCTGCAGTGTGTGTCATCCCAAACCTGCTAGTCAGGTAAACCTTCTTCAGGGCCCGATGTTCTCAAGGGGAGCATGGCATGGCTGTGTCTCCATACGGTCACCCCAAGCTGTCATCAGAAGGATGACAGTTTTGCTACTGCTACTGGTCTGTGTGAAATCTTCACAATTCAGGCTTCACCATTAGTGCTTGGGAAACACCTGTCCGTTGGGACGCTGAAGTGTTTTCAGTTGATGTGATATCCCACGTGGGCTTGCAGGGGTGCTTCTTGTCACAGGCTGGGAATGGTGGTGGGAAGATCCACCTTATCATACACACTTTTTTGGACCCTGTTCTCATTTACCTCATTATTGGGACCTTTATCTCCTTTTAGACACTGGGGAGAGTAAAGTCTGGAGGGGACCAGGTCAGTGGGGCAAGGCCATGGGATTCCCTCAGTATTGCGGGGGTACTAAACTCCCAAAGTCTTGAATGGTGTGGTACAACTGCTCAAACCATCTCTCTGCTGTTCTTGCCCCCAGAGCTATGTGAGGGGTGAGGGAAGTAGCAGCAGGAGTGGGATTGTCACTGTGTCTCTGTGCTACTACCCAAGGTGGGGAGCATAGCAGGAGCCCTGCAGCTGTGCCCCCACTGCAGGCTGTTTCTGGCAGGGTCCTGTAATAACAGATGTGCCTTCTTTTTCTTTTCTGTTTAGCCTCACCCACCCCATCTTCTCTGATGGTCTCCTTGCACCCCTGACCGTGGCCCTGAAGTCATCCCCCTTTGACTTTCAGGGGACAAAAATCCTGTCCAGTCCAGACAAGGAAGCATTCAATTGGGTTGCTGTTAACTATGTCCTGGAGAACTTCTTCAAGGTAAGGGACGATCCTGCCTGGGGAGTACAGAACTGAGCTGAGCAAATCCCGTTAACAAACAGTCAGAGAGACACGTGGAGGGATGCTTAAACCCCTGTTCTTTAAACAATGCTGAAGCACAACTCCCACTGCCTTTCAGAGGAGGCAGGTTGTATCCAACACCAGCTTGTTGTGAGATGGTTGTAACTAGGTTGGAGGACAAACCTCTAACATGGACAGAGAAGCAGCCTTCTGCTGGCAAAGCAGAAGCCCCTTAATGTTCTCACTCAGACGCTAGTGAGAGTGTAGCTGGATGTGCTCAGCATAGGGGCCTGGCCTGCATTCAGAAGGCACTCGCTAAACAAAAAGAACACATTTCAGTTTCCTTGCTCTACCCATGGCTTCTCAAGCCAAAGAGTCTCAACAACTCCAAGTGAAAGAGAAAGGTGGGTCAGACAGCAGCAGCTGAGTTATTCCACAGGCACAGAAAGGCTGTTCTGATGGCCAGCGTCAAGCACATGCTGGTTAGGGAAGTGCTAGCCCAGCTGGCAGCAGCACAGCCACCCCTGGCCGGGGACAGAGTGCTTACGCCACAGGCAGCATGAGCTTTCCTGCCTGTACTGCTATCTTCAGCAAAAGGTCAGTTCTGCAAGACAGCAGGAGATGAAACCACAGGGTTCTTCTGACAGGAGGATCATTTCAGCATCAAGACAGGACTTGACGCCCGATTCTGCCCACCTGGAAACCTCCTTCCCCTTCCCCACCACCACCACCCACTCCTCTCTCCCCTGCTCCTACCTGCTGAGGCCCCTGCCCTGAACAGCCATCCGGGATGGAGAGCCCTGCTTGCTCTTGCTGGCTGTGGGGAGCTCTCTGTGCAGATTGGCTCCTTGTACAATGGCTCCTCTGTTCTGTCCAGTGCCACCAGTTCAGCATCCTTATGTCCTGGGGGAAAAAAAAACCACACCAAAACATTAGGCTGTACTGTAGCAGAAAGCTGCTTTTTCTCTCTGTGCACTAATGCGTGCATCTGACAACGACCCAGATGTAGAAGTCTTAAGAACTGACCTCTCTGGCTCTTTTTGGGTCAGTATGACTGGCGAGGACAGTTGGTACCCTCCGGGAAGGGGATGGCAGGAGTCCTGTCTGTGGGAAGAAGCGCAGCACAGCTCACTTCCAAGGTGGAAGAAGAGAACCAGGCACCAAAAGAGGGAGTGAGGCTGCAGCTGTACGGGCAGACGCACAACGTGTACACTCGTCACTGCCCCTGCCATGGCACGGACCAGCTCCACAGCAGGCTGCTCTCTCTGCTCATTCAGGTGAGTATCTGCCAGAATGGCATTTGCAAGGATCCTGGATACAGCATCAACCCTCTGCACTGAATGGCAGTTGCAGAAGGCATTGCTGCTCATGCGCAACGTGTCAGTCACTGTGTTTTATAGAAGGCATTTGCATATAACTAAAAAAGCCCAGTCAAACATAATGTCTGTACCCAAATCCATGCCCTCCAAGCAGACACACAGGCACCCATTCCAGAGTTCCCTACTTGCAGGCTTCATTTGGCTCCTCACTTATTACATGAGCACAAAAGTGCTCTCCAGGGGTGCCAAGATCACTTTCCAGGTAGAGAGATGTGAAAACTTTCCTTGGCTCCTCTGAACTGCTCCTCCATCCTAGAAGGGGAGCCTAAACAGCAGCACCCAGGAACCAACTGGGACCTTCCACTTGGGCTATTTCTGTCCTTCACTGACTTTAACCCTGAAGCAGACTTTAAAAGAAGAATATCTCATTTTGAAAACATGCAGGTGTTTTGGTTCTTCCAAACTCTGTCGCACTCGAGGGGAAGGTGGCAAGACCTGATGCAAACTCAGGAATCATTTTAATCTCCAACAAAACTGATTTTTTCAGAAATAGACTACTCACCACCCATCTACTTGCCCCTGTATAAAGAACACCTCCCTTTATTTGAGCCTGGAATGTCCCACATGGAGACCCACTTCACCACAGTTATATTGGGGAATTCCTAGAGATAAGAAACACTGATGCTTGAGGAGTTGGAAGGCAAACCAGAACAGCCTCTTTCTTGCAACTAGAAAGAGTACAGGATTCATTGAAACTGTGTTTCTGGTGTAAGGGCGAGCAGGTAGGGCTGGAACTCCTCAGCCTCCCACAGCAGGCTCAGTCATTGCAGCTTGTCCCAAACCCTGCAGGAGCTGGGATCCTGCTGCATCACCCTGGGCCTTGCAGTTGACTAGCTGAGATAAGGTTTGGCAAGCTTTTTGCAGCCTGCCTGCTTGATTACAATATTGTGGTGCCAGATCTTCACTGTGGTGATTTTTGCCCTCTTTTGTGAAGCCCTGGGATACCAACCTCCTCTCTTGCTGCCTCTGTCCCTGTTTTATTCTGCCTCTAGGACCAGAGAAGTGCTAAAACTGTGTCTAATCCCTGCTGGCCCTTCTCTTACTCACGGGAGGTGCAGTGGCAATCAGTGCACACTGGGCCTTGTGCTGTCAGTGATGACACATTGGACATCCCTGGCCCCGAGGAGGTCTTCAACATCACCGGCTCCAGCAATCCCACTGCCTGCATGAGACTTGTGCAAAGCCTGCTCAACTCCTCCTCTTCCTGCAGCTTCTTCGAGCATCCCCACAGCAGTCTTCCCAACCCCCTCCGGACCAGGTTTCTGGTGGGTTCTCATTTACACTGGGGTAGGTAACTGGTATGGAGACCCCATGAAAAGGGACCGGTTCGGTCATCAGTAAATACAGTGGCAACAGCCACACTGTGCCCTCTACTAGCCAAGAGGGCCAGTGCTCTGGCTATGTGGTGAAGCTGAAGATTCCACGCCACTCCCTCGGCAAACATCTGGGCATGCTCCACCGCAAGCGTGCTCATATCCAAGACCCTGGATCTAGTATCCAGGTTCATTGGGTTGTTAAGCCAGGACCAGCTCAAGATCCTAGGACAAACTGAGTGCATCTCAGAGGGAGGAACCTCATGGAGTTCAACAAGGCCAAGGGCAAGGTCCTGCACCTGGGTTGGGGTAATCCCAAGCACAGGGACAGGCTCGGTGGAGAGTGGATAGAGAGCAGCTCCGAGGAGAAGGACTTGGGGGTACTGGTGGACAAAAAACTGAACATGAGCCGGCTGTGTGCGCTGGCAGCCCAGAAGGCCAACCGTATCCTGCACCCCACAGCTACTGCCACTTGGTTTCCTACAGACAGTGCATGCAATGCAAGGATGCAGAGCGCGGGCCAACGGGGTGATTATTTCTGCTGCTGTTGTAGGTGATTTCTGAGGCCACGGACTTCATGAGAGAAACTGGGCCCTCTCCTGACTTGTATCAGGCAGTCACCAGGCTTTGTGGGATGTCCGTCAAAGAGGTAACTGTGGAATAACTTAGTCTGCAGGGAGAGTGGGAAGCAAGGAACAGTCTGTTATAAAAGCCCATGGGGCTCAGACTGACAGAGCCATAACTGACTGGCTCCATCAGGGAAAAAATTGGATTTGCCTGAGTTTTGGTTTTGGGGTGGTGTGTTTTCTTTTTTTTACTTTGAGGAAACAAGGTCCACTTATTTTCCTTCCTCTCAAATCCCAGCTGCTGCTGGCAACCCCTGGACTTAATCAAATGAAAAGCCACAAGTGCCTTTAATGGCATATTCCAGAGTAAACAGGAAGGCTGGCTACTCACTCCTGTACATCACCTTGGTCTTCCTGTTATCCTGCTCTCCTCAGTGCATGGATCACACCTGCTCACGTTCCAGGGGCTGGCCCATCTCACCGGGACCAAGCCAGGGGGAATTTCCCTCAGTTGGTTGGTGGTTTATGAGATCACCCTCATTTGCACCCACTGACCGAGCGTCCACAGTAACACCCAAATCGGACAGTTTCTGCAGGGTTTGCGAATGGGGTAGCAAAGCCCATAAGCAGTTCCCTGAAGCTTTCTCTTCCGGACAGAAGAGACAGACCTCCTTAGTGTTCTTGTTGAGAGACAGGCTGCAGCATTAGCTCCGGCTAATTAGGGGGCAGGGACGCCCACCACCAGTTCACCTGCAAGGCAGCTGTAGGAGACCCAGCTGCCAGCCCTGCTGCTCTTGGAACTGCCTGGTCCTTAGTAAGATGGGAACAAAGGCACTAGGAGATGGCACTGGCTCCCAGACACAGCCCAGCGCGTGCAGGAAACACGGCTTCAGTCTGCACAGGACGCAAACCCCTCCTCCAGTCCTCCAGTCAGACCCAGAGCAGGAAAAGGGAGGTTTTAGGAGGCCTGAAATTCAGCGGCTGAATAGTTACTTCTTTTATTTTTTCCCCTTCTCTTTTTGGAAATGACACCAGCTGGTCAAGGAGTCCCAGACGAGCCTGGACACACTTGCTGATTCCTGTCTTGTGTCTGCCTTCATCTTTCATCTCAGTACAAAGGGATACACGTTTGACTTTGACAGCTCTGTTTGGACTGCATTCCAGAAGGTCAGTAACCGTCAGTGTGGTATTTCCAGTTAGGAGGGAGGGCTGGTTTCAGCAAAGCCAGCTTGTCCCCACCCCTACAAGCCTTAACCAGCTGGGTTTCTCCAGCAAGATGTTTTTGCACAATAAATTCACACTTGCGATAAGAAAGAAGACGAGTGACGGAGAGTTGGAGATTACACTGGTCCGCACTGAAAAGCAGATGGGTCATAACCTCTGGAGCAATACCACCTTTAAGAGTCTGTGCCCAACACCACTGAACCAGTGGTGGGCCTGACCACCACTGAACGCTAAGAGCAAACCGCTGATAATATTCCCTCAGCCAAAAGATGGTACCCCACCTCTTTGCCCTTACCTTTATACTGGTGAGGCTTTAGAACTGGTTTATAAGGTCTGAAATTGCTTCAGGATCTGGAGCCTCTAAGGAAAGGAGGATTTGATTCAAAGCCTTCCCTCCGCAAAAGAAGGGAAAGCCTCAACTCACCAGCAAAGCACAGTCCCACTGAGCAGGGTCACATCAGTCATCGGCCACGTGGGGACAGTCAGACTAAGGCAGACACTGAGGTTGGTTCAGGGTCCTTCCAGGGACCCCAGCTGAAAAGCCAGAGGAAAGCTACTTACCCACGGGTGTGGGGTTCAGCCAAGGCAGCATGGCCAAGGACACAACTACCTGCAACGCGGACCTGAGGTCCGTCAGGAGAACCAGCCCGTAAGCAGATGGAAGAGCACGCACCTAGAGCATAGCTCAGGAAGGAGGTGGCTGCCCAGGCCAGGGCTTAAGTGCAGCCCCTGGGCCCATGGGCAGAGCGGGTGGGTGGAAGTGCCATGTGAAACTGGTCTGGGAAATTAAGGCCTATTAGTGTGCTTGGACACTGCGAGTGGGAGAGCTCCCTGGATCCGTCTCAAATAAAGTATATGAATAAAGAAACGCAGCTGGGGTCCAGACTGTCTGCTTCTCTGATGACCTCTCCTCCTTTTTATTTCAACAGATGGGTGATTCGCCTTCTGGCTGGACTCTTGGGTACCTGCTGAGCCTGACCAACTCCATCCCCGAGGGCAGCCCAAGCTTCCTCAAGGGGATTGAACCAGGGGTCTGGTCTCTGCTCCTTATCCTCTTTGTCGTGCTGCTCACTGGCTCCTTCATGCGCATCTCATACCGAGTGATGGTCAAGGAGAACAGCTTCAGTAACAGGAACAGCAGCGTTTTTGATGACAACTGATGTTTTTCCTGGGACTCGATATTCTTGCCAGAGGGCAGTTAATGGGTACACACAGAAATCACACAGGTCACTGGAGGATGCAAGTGATTTCCTGCTGGACTCCCAGAGCCTCAGGGCATTATTTCAACTGCCCAGCACTTGCACTACTGTACTTGGAGACAACGGATCCTGCTCTACAGGAAGCCTGTGATTCCCAGTGGATGGCAGGCTATTTGTTCTCCAAATGAGAGCAGCCTGCACAGATCTTGCTGGATCACTAGTGTCAACCTAATGAAATGATATCTCTGAGCAGGCAGGCCCTGAGCTATGTACAGTTACTACTGAGCGAGGAGAGGTGGTGTCTGAAAAAAGTGCTCTGTCCTCTTCTGTGAGATACCTGCAGTATTGCCATGAGTGAAGACTGTAACAGCATTGCAATCAGACTGTAACAGCCAACTTGCTTCCATGTTCTAGGGAAGAAAACAGGTATTTTCTGCCTGCTACTACTGATCCGTCTGTTCTTCCAATTCAGTGATGGTACCCATGCAGCCCTTCCAGCGAATGCTCCTGCTGACCAAGAATCCTTCAAAAGCAATGCTTTTTAGTCTCGGTCTCCACAAAATGCCCAGAGCATCAGAAGAGAAACAACGGGCACAGATGCGCAGCTTGAGTTCCTGTCTCAGCTGAGTCATGGCAGTGCACGGCTAAAATTGCCAATTTAAACTATTTAACCAGGACTTAACACATTTCATCTCACATCTAAAATCGGTGCATGCTGGGCTGAGGTTCACCAGTTCGTTCATTTGCACTGAACCACTCCTCTCACTGAATTTGAAAGTGAAGTGTCTCATCTAATACTGTCTTTAGACAAGAACAGACCCAGGAATCCAGGAATTTCCTAATTGTCAGTGCAATGACTTTCATATTAGGCTGTGACCAGAGTTACTTGATAATCTGATACTGAGGATTCCTCTGGGACTTGGCAGACATTCCAGCTCCTCCGGTCTGGTCTGCTCGTGCTATTGTGAAGAAAAGGGGTGGATTGGGACAAACCCTGCCATTTGACTAAAGCATTTAGAGGTAATTTCTCAGATTGTTTCAGAGACTTAACACACTGACTGTTAAAATCCTAAGGGATGAGCCTCTCCAATGCATTTCAGACCACTTTAAACAGAAATCTGAATGCTCACAGACGCAGTGATGTGCCTTGCAGGAGTTTTAAAGCTACCGTGACACCCAAATCCTTTCAAATCTGATTATTAATCCCTTGTGCTCCCATCTCATATATAGGACACCCTCCCTCCCCCATAATATTGGGGTATTCATAAATTTTCAGGCCAATTAATGAAGGTTTGGAACCTGTCAGTCAAGTTTGGAGGGGTGTGGAAACAAATTTAAACAAGCTTCATATTAATTTCTTTGAGCTGCACGTTAGCTATTTTTAATTATATCATGTTATTAAAGATGTTTTAGTAGACTGTCTATGTTATTCTTGGCAAGAGATCAAAGCGGGGGTTTTATTGTGAACACAGTGTGTTTCAGTGAGGAGGACGGGGGATGCCGATTTCACCTCTGCTGACTCAAGAGCTCTTACACCGTGCACTTTCGGGGTACACAGTGAGAACCCCCGAAGGCACTTTCTTCCCAGTGGCAGGCAGGCAAAAAATTACTCCAGATAACCTGGCTGCTGGTATTCAGCTGATGAGAGACATGTCTATGTCTTTGATGTGTTCCTTGCTCAAACCGTCTGAAGAAGGTCGGAGGGACTCAGGCAAGCCTGCATGGATAAAAAGGAATGAGGTTATCAGGGAGTCAGTGATATGAGGGAAAATCCTGAGCCTTCATTCCTCCTGCATCTGGAAATGCAATCATTGAAGAGAGCTCTGGCTCTGTGGCCAGTCAGCATGTAGGAGAACTGTGGGATTCCTGGCTGAGATTTGCAGCCTGCCCAAGAAAAATCCTACTGCTGTCAGAAATGGAAATAAGCTGGTGAGGTGCCAGAAGCCCGGGACTCCCGGTGTTCTGGCCTGCTCAGCCATCACACCTTGATTTTGAATACTAGATGACAGGGTCCAGGAGAAAGGACGTTGGCTGGAACTTCCCCAAGCTCTTGTTCAGAAGCTTTGGGACTTCCATGCAGCTAGTAAGTGACCAGGTAGGCAAGAGGCTCAGCATGTCATCCGGACACTTTACTTCTGCCTCACACGTGCCACTGAGCTGTACGGAGTGATGGCACGTAATGTACCTCATTAATCCCATGACACTTGAGCCTCCAGCTGCCGTCGAGCCACCTCTCTGCAATGCAAAACCAACCAGAAACCCCTTGATTTAGAGCAGATCCTAAACTCTTGAGCTGAAAGTTGCCCTTCTCCGAGGCACAGTATGACATTTCCATGGCTGAAGTTCTTCCCCAATGGTCCACGCACGGCAGCCGGCAGCTCCGCTCCCTCCTTTCCCATCACTCGCCTTCCAAACACCACACTGCTCTCATCCTGAGGCAGGTCTTGGGGCAGGCAGGAGCAGGCGTGTTTGTTCTCATCCAGGGACGGTGCTGCCCACCCCACGCTGCAGCCCAGCAGCTGGGTTACCAGGTGAACTGGGCTTGGAATGGGCAGCACTGCTGGTGAGTATCACTCTATCTGGCAGAAAAAAAAACTACTTACAGATGCATTTACGAGACACTGAGCTGGATTGGTATCTTAAAATAACAAAAATGGGAATTCTTCTATGACAAGAATGTAAACTAGTAAAAGGAAGCTATTTCTTTCTCCCATCTCTCTGTAGAAGCAGCTTCTTCATGTCAGCACTACCTAAGTTTGCAGAATTAATCCTCAGATTACCTGGACAGCAGAAATCTACTTAAAAGGAAATTAGAGATGAACTTATTTTGAAATGAAGATACTTGCAGCCCTTTGGTTAAAATGGAATCATGGAAATGATTAATAATGAGGATTTTCTAACTGTCCATAAATTATGTTAACGCGTAGCTCCCTCCCTTCTCACTCAGGCTGAACCACGGGAGAGCCCTTCTGCCAGATAACGTCTGCTCACATGTAACTGCCGTTCTGCTGCTGTCAGCAAGTATCAGTGAGAAGGAAATCAAAAGTATCAGACACAAAAATTGACACCAGAAAGCAGTTTCTCTATTTTAGCTCCAGAAACACAACAGATTAGCTGACCTGCTGCTGGCTAGAGTGGCCCAAATTTCATTCCAGGGCTTGTGTAGGAGTATATTAGTTCCTGGTTTTCTTTCAGATTATACCATTACCAAAACATCATGGATTCCCAACTAGCACATCCCTTCTGGATTGTACCAATGAATTCCCATGAAAACTGAGAGAAATAACGGTTTATTGCCTGCGGTCCCGTTCTGCAGAACCAAGTCCACCACCACAGGACCAGAGTTGCTTCTTTCCTCCTGTTCTGATGCACGCAGGCTCCCTGGGGTTGTAGGAGAGACCTGAGCTGAGTCTGACTTTGCAAAACTTGTCATATGGCTGAGCATCAGCTTCCCATCAGAAATGCAGTGATTGTAACTCCTCCTCTCCTTGAGATACTGTCCTGCCTGGGAAGATTCCTGGTTCAGTGGTTAAGGGAAGGCCTCTGGAATAGCAAATGTAGAAACAACATACAGCACTGGGCACCGCAGTGCTCATTTCAGTTGTTTGGTGCTGTTGTAACAAACAACAGTGAAATAACTTAGGGTGGTGGTGAAGCACTGGGACAGGTTGCCCAGAGAAGCTGTGGATGCCCCATCCCTGCAAGTGTCCAAGGCCAGGCTGGATGAGGCTTGGAGCAACCTGGTCTAGTGGAAGGTGTCCCTGCCCATGGCAGGGGGGTTGGAACTGGATGATCTTTCAGGTCCCTTCCAACCCAACCCATTCTGTGATTCTATGAACTTGAAATCCCCAACCACTGGTGGAGCAGATCCAGCAGAACATGAGAAGAATTCCTTTTAGAATGGCCGGATTTAGAGATCGACCAGCACATTTTTATTTTGTTCTGTTGGCATGTCTGTGATCATGTATCTGAGTATCTGCCAGAGAAGTAGGAAGCCATAGGATGTTTATATCCTACCTCATGGACTATCCCTCCTACTTCAAGAGCTAATTCCAAACACAGAGAAGTAGATGGAAATGCTAGAGCCCGAATGAATACTGGGGGTCAGTAAAACATCTATTTTTGCCACAGCTCCTTTCATAATGCCATAAAACCCAGGCAAGTCAAAGTGTTTTGATGTTCTGCAAGTGCAAACACCACTGTGCACGCGCACACCGCCGACACCGGACGGAGTGGTTGACCCTGTTGCCACCATGCCCTCCATACTCAGAGCTTTCTTGCAGTAGAGTGCTTTTAGATCCCCTGTCCAGACAAACACAGCATAAGCTGTTTCTCCCCTGCGTGTGTAATGAGAGGGATTAGTCACAAGGGGGAGGCTGGCAGGACCGCACCAGAAACCTCAGGGAATCTCCAACACAGCTAGTAGCAGATCCTACCCCAAACCAAATCCATTAGGAACCAGACTCGTCTGGGAACTTGTCGAGGAGACTCCAGGTGTGGACACAGACGAAAGACACGCCGCAGTATGGAAGCGCTCTGTGTGGGATGGGAAAGCAGCTCTAAGCAGTGGTTTACAAAGCCACTTTCATCAGTGGAAGAAGGTCCCGATGCAGGGAGACGGGCACTATCATGGAGTATGGATGACAGCTTTTTTGGAAACAAGAGGGAGAAAGAATAACCCCTAATAGGAAGAGGACTTCACTGGGAATGAAGAGGAGGTTTGAGAGACAGAGGAATGATAAAATCAGCTTTGGTGTGAAGGAAAGCTTATTTTTGTTCACAGCAGGGGCGTCACCATATGCGCAACCTCGTGATCGAATTAGTCACCGCTTCTTGGTGGAAATTCTCCGGAGAAGCAGATCTATCTCCCGAGTGAAAGAGGAGATAGCTACCGCGCTTATCGCTGGACAATGTACAGCAGCGGAGCTGTGGAATCAAATGAGGGAAACTTTATGGGAACA